TATCAAGCCGGTACCCAAGACAACGGACGGAAGAAGGAAAGAACTCACATTTGGATTTTCTCAGTCTAAGTCCGCTCCGTTGCAAATGCTCAATTACGACAGCGTATGTGCGAAGATGCCCTGGATACCAGCGCCCGGAGATAGGTGGAAGCAAAAGGTGTCCTTTACTTGATCATCAAAAATCCTTTGACAGATTCCAAGAGAAGTATTAATACCAATAGGCAGACGAATATATTGATATAGTATGGTGATCGTAGTAACCTTTTTCGGCGGCTCGTCAAGCTCTATCTGCGAGTACGCATAACTGCGATAAGGATTGGTAAACTTTTGATCATCTGCAAGCGTTGCGTACAAATCATCAATGCGTGGCAGTGGGTACCTGACTAGCATGGAGGATTGATTGACAGTAATTTTATAATCATCACAGGCCCGTACGGAGCCGTTAGGTTTGGTCACAGGCACAATGGGCATTCCCCAGTCGGATAGTTGTACATAAGTAATAATACCCTGGGTTTGTAAGCGATTTAGTTCCTCTCCAACTTTGGACTTCAAGAAGCATGACAGTGCGCGCTTTGATGAAGATTGGCCGAGAGTCTTTAAATTGGTCGTAGCCTGAAAACCTTTCAATTTTCCAAACGCCTCGGCGAAAACAGCCGAATGTTGTTTCAGTAACCCCTCAGGTCCTTAGACCTCAGTGACTGTTTTCACCACATCCACTACATCCGGGGACGCATGTATCCAGTCTCGTCTGAGCAGATTTGGGCGATCCCCAGAGATATCACATATACAAGAAGCTTTTGTATCCTGTTTCTGTATTGTACCCTTACGAAGCATTTCTCAAGAACACCGGTGTACATGCGAAGGACGGAATCGCAAGCTGATAATGGTAGTCATGTTTTACAGCACTTACCCTAATTATCGTCACAGATACTGCTGTATCGAACTCCATTTCTGTAAAGCTACAGAGTGTATGGCGGTGGCCGCACATCGGAAACGGTGTTAGGCCATATGGAATGCAATTCAGGTTCGTTACCGTCCGACTCACCCATGCTTGTGATAGGTTTATGTCCCGGGCAAGCCCCCTTAAACGCCCTTTGAACGATCTGCAAACTCGAGCCAAGTAGCCCATCTTCCCGTAGTCCCGGTATACGGTCTTTTTATATCGACAGTCAGATGGACAACTGGGCTGTTCACCACAACGGTAGCACATGAGCGAACTGATACTAGTGGGTGCTCTTTTATTTTTGGAGTACTGTTCACCAACCGCAAATCTTCTGTTGCGAACAATCACCTTGTGAAAGGAGCATCTCACGGGTGTTCTGGTCTGAGATCCTTGAGATCAGTCACTGGAGTAGCATGGTTTCTTCAGACCTCGCTGGATCGATTTCATCGTATTTACAGTCAGGTACCGCTTGCAGTACACGAGCAGTGTACTCGTTCACACTCGTCTGCTTTCTGGGAGAAGTTGGAGAAGTAATATATAACCGTAAAAACATTCCGACGAACACCCCAAAGAGCCCTGAATGTGTCCAGAGCGTTGGCTATGGTAGAGCATATGTTGTCAATACGGAGGACATCGAAATATTTTTGACCCTTATCCCCAAGAAACTGTCATAAAAATTTCATACCACTGGATGCAAGATTGGAAGCAGTTCTAGATAATCAATAAAAGTTTTTCGCCATCGATTCGACGTGTCCAGACGTTTGTCGACAGAAGAGGACTAGAAGACCAATGGAACAGTTACCATAGACATGTTTACCTCCATCGACAAATGTCCAGACTCGCTCCTAGTAGCACGTGTCTGCCCGTAGCCAAGAAGTAGAAGACAGTCTGACAGTATACTCAACATCTGACGCGATACAAGTTACCTGGCTTGGAGAGATGTGTGCGTGTGCATGCGGACGAACGTGTGTAAAGGGCCTATCAGATTACGTCAAGCGTACTCAACGATTGTTAGGTAAACGTGACAATCACGAACCGCCCATGGCCTCTCTGTAGGCACAGGTATCCTATGACTGTCCTATGGAGACAGCAGTGACAGGCACATCGAAACTCGGATGCCGGAATCATGTATTCACGGTCTGGTTGCAGACGTGTCGATTCTTGGTTACAGCCCATCCGCCTATTGCCCGGTCATCCGACGCGACACATAAGGGAAAAGAACAAGTTTAGCTCGTAGCTATCAGTTTTGTTGCCAGTTTACGGGGTCTATTGTACGAAGACTGATGCAAGAGACTAGAACTGTGCACCCGTCCTATGTTCGTGTGCGAATTGGTCCCACCATACCCACCGGGTTTCACATCTCGTTGTCTCCCTCATACTGAGCCGGCTGTTCCATCTGCGAATACTACGCAGCGCACACGGACACCGATGCAACCTTGTGGTATTGAACCTGAGACGAATGGTCCGCCCCTTGTGTTTCGAACACGGAGTGGTCAATGTTTGGGACATCCGGCAGCATACTTGGAGACTAGATAGGTGTAGCAGTTTAGAACACCGCTGCATTTACATTTCCCAACGTGAGATTCTTTGAGAGATTACTTACGAGCGATACTGTCGCACATTTGTGAGTCCTATGTTATTGTGACCAAGACATCCCGGAAAATCTGGAATCGGATGCGAGGGGCAACTACAGAAATCCACAGCATGCGAAAGAATTTACTATATAGCGTGTTCGATTTGTTCGTGGACTTCAAATCGCAGCGCAAGAGCACGTCTAGGTCCTTAACGGAAGGTGTAGCGGTCAACCGTGGAAAGTGAAAGTACGGCGGTCACTATATTTCTCCAGGATAATGAACACCGACTTGGGTGGGTTGAATGGGGGTGAACTTCTGTGCATCACTGGGGCAGGACAATTGATGTCTTGCTAAAGTAGGCCGCAGTCGTCGGTAACATCAGGTATTATATAAACCTTCCGGTCATCAGCTAACAGGGCACACAGCGACCGCAGAAACTGAGGTGGATGGCTGATGTAGATTAGATCAGCACTGAACATTGGATAAGTCGCTATCAGCAAAATAGAGCAGGTCATATCACCATCCTGCACCCTCCACTTCAGCTAGCTTGCCGTAAGATCTTTGCGTGGTGCCTGCTGCACGGCTAGGGAATCTCCCGTTCCGGTAAATGGTTGGGCGGTAGCGTTCGGGGACCCTGGATTTTCATTTGGCAGGCGTTCTCACTACAAAGAGCCACAAATGTTTTCTTCACACACTGCTAAGGGGCGCATGTGACCCGCGACAAAATAAGGCCACTTCCCCTTGTCTTCCTCGGAGACATTGTAACGCGGCAAGCGATCCGATTATCGAAATTCGCTTCTGTCTTCGGGGGTGTTAGGCCCCTACTGTGGCCTTTCATCATAAGAAAGGCATACGAAATGAGTCTTCAGTCACCGACTCCCATGGGTGCATGACCCTCATGTCGTCCCGGTGCTTTATCGGTTGGGCCTTTTGGCTAAAGGCTAGAGATCGTAGACCCCTAAGGCAACTTGCCTATTTCGGTCTAGCGAAACGGGTATTATCTCGCCTACTGACGAACCATGGAACGGTTTCCGCACAACGAGCAAGTTTCGAATCTACTGGTGCAGTGAGCCAGCAGCACCACACGCTCATCCCGTGGAGGTGGATCTCAGAGTTTACGTTGTCGGACGTTTGCCGGAAATGATATACATCACTTTAACGGACCTCCCTGGTTGATTACCTGCAATCATTCATGCCTCGTCACGAGCACTTTGTTAAGGTGTGAAAGGCCCAGCATAAAACCACCATCTCCAGACGACAGCACAGAGTTGGCCAGTCTCCTTGTCATAAGCTGCAGCTATGCTCAATTAACCCCAAATGCGTGGGAAGGTTTCATCCTTATATATTTGATCGAGCAGTCAGTAACTTACAGAGGGCTTTACTGCAATACTTGGCGCGGGTAGGAGAGAATCCAGATCAGCGGTGCACAAACGAAGAGGGCCGTGATCTCGTTTAGAACTACAAGTTCTGAGAGGGCCTGTAAACTAACCGGTCACGATGCAGCTCGAAATATTTAAACAGGAAAAGGTCTTTTAAAGTGCCCCACGCAAAGTGCAAGACGGCGTTCGTTACTTCGAACTGGTGTGCCAGAAATGTCAGTGGTGGTCTCACCGCCTCATAAGCATCTGAGACCAGTGGTGCGAATCTAGGGTATATGTATGCGGTTAAGGCCTCCATGTTTTGATTCCTTTTGGTCCACCAAGCTTCACAGTCAGTATGAAGATCCAGTTTTGTCATGCATTATGCTCAGGCCCAGCAAGAAGCTTTCATCAAGATCCCAACAGTTTCAAGAGCTTTCGTGATATTCAGTGTCTGATGGTATGAAGATTGATAGCACATCAAATAGAACCTATTGCACCAGGGGTGACAACAATTATCATACTCCACAGAAACTCAGTATCCTCTGAGTAATAAAATAAAAACACTATTCATAGAACATCAAAGAAAGCCTGTCAAAGTGGGATACGACATCCTTTCGGTTAGCAATCGGTTTAGTTATGCACTGTGACTAGCATTAAGGGTTGAAAATAGGTAGTGTATTGGAGCATGATCAAAGTCGATATCTGTTTTCCAAGGCGAAAGTTAGTTTCTGATGTAAATGAACACCTGAACATTAAAGCATCGTTGGTTAGCTGCAAGGGAACGTCAAGCGACGCTGTCCATTGTGGAGCTTGTGCTACTTAGACACAACCGATAACCGATAATATATCGTAGTGGATGGGTTGTGATCGGAGGATACTACTCGGCTTGTTACCTCTTTGTGTAAGAAAGATGGGAAACCCAACCCGATCCCAGCAAGTTACACGGGCCAGCGCACGATAACAACGGGAGAGTAGTTAGTAGATGCATCACCAGAACAACCGCGCAACTGTGGTTAGAAACCAAATGGAACCATCAATAATTCATCCTCGAAAAGGGTAGGGAAACGCAACACACTGATTTGCGAAAATAGTTTTGAATGGGAAGAAAAACAAGTCACTTACCAAATGAACATTCCCGATTGCAGTTCTCATAATAGGCAGCAAGAAAGTCGATATAAAAGGCCACATGAGGAGAACGATAGCCTTCAAACAAAAGTTCCATCAACTCTAAATATTGTAATTAGAAGATGAAAAACTTACGAGCACGACAAACCCTGGGGTTACACAGGATTTCATTAATAAGAATAGGGTGGTCGACTAGATGTGATTGCACACTCAAACGATCGAAAATGTGATCCAACACGTGTTCTTGTGAATCGATGCCAGTGAGTAAACCGTCCATGAAGGGTGATTTTAGTGCATGAGCCACAGCATCTGGCTCAGATATATCGTTTCCGACTAACACAGACTGCAAATTACCACAGACTGAAAAATAACAGCCTACTTTGCTCATCCGGGGACGGTAACTAAAATTTCGGAAAACAAGATGCGGATCAGGGTGAGACGCATACCCTGCACGGCATTCAAAAGAACCTAAATGAGTGATGTTCAATGAAGTTGGGAAAACTTGCCGTTATCGATAACGATGGGGGAACCCGCTAAGAGTTCCGACCAGGGCAAATTACCATCAGGAACGTATCGGGGCAACTCGTATTGAGAAATCATTAAGATCAAGATGAAACGTCAGAGAGGAAAACAGCTGAAAAGTATAACGCAGTGTAAGGGGCTGGTCGGAGAGGTGATATCCCTAACGGCAAAATCAGGACACAGTTGTCTGAAATCTGGATTGAAATCGGACGGTCGGCATTCATTGGTTAGGGAAAGGTAATAACGCTGTCTCTACTATGTCTTTATATTCGTTATCGAGAATAATCAACGTACCATTCTTGTAATTCCTAACACCAGTGATATATATTTTATGACCAATGTTATTTGTATAAATCCTTCGCCTGTCACAATTTGGCTCACTACGGCCGGCCCGTAGCCTTAAGGATTACAATCCTGCGTTGTAATCTGAGGGCGCGGGTTCGAGCCTGCGTAGGGACCGGGGAAAGCTGGCAGTCTCTTTAGCCCACGTGTGACTGGTGGTGGTTGCAGGGCAGCGAAGCAGCGATACTGAGTACCGGCTTACTGCTGACGTCTTCTTTTAACTCACTGCGTAAGTCCATCGCATTTCAAAGACGCTGGATGAGGTTACCTTCACCCGTTATGCGTGTCCCGTCATTTGCTACCTCAAGTAGACCCATGCTAAGTAGGATCTGGAAGGCACTAACAAAAATGCTATATGTGTAACTCAGAAGTGTTGTGTGAAACTGTGCGCGGTGCATCATCCAGATGCAGTCTAATGACCATAGTTGAGTTATATTTCATGCGCAATTACTACGACGGCTAAACGGCATGTTGCGGGCTAATTTTGGCCATAGATACGAAGGATAAGGGAACCTGAAGAGTAAATAAAACTGGAAATAGTGAATAACACCTTGATTCTATAAATAGAGCAAGTTATTGCACATTGTATTCGTCTCACGTTATAGTGCCCGCGACTTGTAAAGTACAAAGGACGCAACGCCTGTTTCGCCTCCAGAAATTGATTTTGTTTTTGCGGCAACCCGCCTGTTATACCGTTGAATTTTGTCGGTGTGTTTGTTGCGCTTCATCGTTCAAGCCTTTGCTCAAATTTTAGGCCTGTCGAATTTCGTGTTATGCAGTAGGGTTTATAAACTAATTTGTTCGGATCTGTTATCCGTCACCTGATTTGCAAGTCCCTAAACTGAGTCCATCTACACGAAAGCGACATCAGCAAATCCTGCAAATCTTCATCTAAGCCCAACGTATGTGTGGTGTTTTAGAAGTAAACCTTCCCTGAGTCACTCATTTTTCCAGACTTATCAAAAGTGGAAATAATGCAGTTGCTTTTCGTTGATGCCGTTGATCTCCACTCTGGGAAACTTGTTCTGTAACGCCGTTTCCGCCGATTGTTCCGTTTGAGACATGTACATCATCAGTCTTTCCCTCCTTCTTTCCAGCCACTGCACTGTTGATCTTCCAGTTAATACTTCTGCCAGTTGGGCGGCTGTTAATTATCGGTTTGTCACGGAATTCCTGCTTGAAAGTCTGGCTTTTTAACTTGACCTTCTGGAGCCGTTTAGAAGCGTACGATTTAAGTAATTGTCTGAAGCGATTTCAATAGATAACAGTAGACACTGTTCTATCGGAAAAAGTGCATCACATCAAATACGCTCCAGTGAGTTCAAATTGGTGCGTGCGTTTCGCTTGCGGTAGTATCCCACTTTGCTCTCGTTTTCTGTACTGTAGGCCATCAAAAGCCGGTCCTCACATTTTCGTTCTGCTCTTAGTTACCTTTTCTTCTTTATTGTCAAGTGTTGTGGGTGTGCTTTCGGGTCTTAAATCAGTTGATTCAGTTTCTCTATACGGATTAGAGAAAGGCTTTGTATCTGTAACCGACTTGTCGGGTGGTATACAGTAGGATCTTTAAGTTAGGTGGTTTCATGAGGCACGCACCGTTTTGCCTGCAGAACAATACGCTCTCTTGGCAAACAAAGAAGGTCAATTTATAGCTGCGACGATGGTTTTAAGCTTAAAGCTTAGCGCTGTGTAACCACGAAGGATTGCTTTGATTCACTCGTTTCCAGACTAGCAAACCTGGGAAGAGTTGTTTTTGCTGTTGACCACTTTGGATGGGAAAGTTGAAGGTTTAGTAGAGCGCCTGACACCCTCCGTTAGTGGATATCAGCACGCAAACGGATTCCGTAAATCTTACACCCTTTCCAATAACTGACTGTGAACTAGTTGGCGATGAACAGTTAAAGGGAGTACGTGACCCCACTGACGAAGTGTTGCAGACCCCCTTCCCAGCAAAACGTAGGTGGAGCAAGTTGTAAATTTGCAATATGTTGTAGTAACGGAGTGTACAGAGGGTCGGGTAAGCACTTCGCTTGCAGAGCCTTCAGTATTGAGTTCTGCGGTCTCTCCGCCCAGCGGCTAGCGCATCCAAGCAGCCAGTCACCCAGTTCCAGGGCTCCTGCGACTGCGGCGGGTGGAGTAAGCACCCCTCACCGCAATGACTCCTAAACTAATAGTAGTGTCATTTTTAGGAATGTCACGGAGTCCACCGCCGCCCAACCAAAGGAGTGAACACATGATTTACATTACTAAACTGGTACCGCCCGGCTTTCTTGGCGTAACTACATAAACTCATTACGCATGGGTTTGTGCTGGTCGGACGTCAAACCCCGTTTATTGAGAGTCGTTCTTTTAACCCCGGATGAGCGTAAGGCATTTTGCGTTTCGCTTATAAACTCAAGTGTTCTGCGGTCAGTATTCAACCTGGTCTCCCTTTGGCTGATAGGTCAGTTGAAAGCCGCTATAAAGGACCTAAAAGCACATCGCGAGGCGGGTGAAACGGGTCTTCGATTGGTGGGTTTTCAGGTGGTGAGCCGGAGGTCTACTTCCGCCATTTCAGAGTCCATTCTGATGGCACACGATCCCAATTTTCTTAAAGAAGTCCTCAACAACGTGCGTAGTCTGAGGAGTAAAACGTGCGAGATTGGCACTCTTGTAGAAAGCTCTCGGTCAGACGTACTTGCTTTTATTGAATGGTGGCTGTCCTCAGACATCCTGGACATTGAAGTGTCTGCCTGGTTATACCCTACTGCGAGCTGATCACGCCCCATGCTGTCGTGGAGATTGAGTTGCTTTGTACATCAGATCTACCTTGACTATTTTACGAACATATTTGTTCAATCCCCCTGATGTAACTGCTGAAGCTCTTTCGGTGGATGTGTGCACCGCTTTCAGGTAATTCAAAATCGTGTTAGTATACAGAAGTCACGAACAGCTAACATAAAGCGCAGCGTCCCGCCTTGTCAACCAACGAGATTTTCTTTACTGAAATCCTTGTTCGAGAACAGTAGTTGAATATCACTATATAGAAAATTTGGAAGTGCCAACATACTCGGAATCTCTTGTGTGCCTTCCTTTTTCACAGCGTAGTTGTGCTTCTCCGCTTTAGTTTTCCTTCTCGGAAGCCTTTTGTGGAAACAGTGTTGAATAACTCTGAGCATAAACTGTCCAGTGTACCAGCGTTTGAAGATCTTAAATTGTTTACCTACTGTTCGTGGTTTTCTCATCGAAATATTGGCCTCTGTTTGAAGACTTCAACGCAAAAGATTCCGGCCTTTGTCGATATCTCATCGATCGAGTACAAATCGGGTTGATATTCGACCGCGCGAAGCTGATCAATCCCTTGTTCCTGCAGTCTCTCCCAGCTCCATCGGAGAACAGCTTTTGGAGGGTATTTTAGAGGAAAGCCTGTTTTGGTCTTCGTTGCTACTTTTATTGTTCTGGTGAGTCCAAATCTGTGCAAACGAATCACCCCGGGTTCTACCTGATTGCTGCTCACGTTGTCTCCATTGTAGCCTACCGTACCCGGTTCACGTTCCTATTATCTGTTAAAGTTTTTCATCTTTCGTAATGGTAAAGATATCCGGTTCCAAGTCGCCCTCGGACCCATTAACCGATTCGTCAGCTGTTTGTGGTAAAGCGAGTCGCTCAGAACCAGTTACTGGTTCTTCTGGGGGCATGCAATGTGACCTCTGGAGTTCTTGGTTCCATGAGGCTTGCACTGTGTTAGATAGACAGCAGTATATCCTGCTACAAAACAGCGATAATTTACCTTATAATTGCCCTGGTTGTGTGAGGCAGAAAGCATATCGTCTAGTCCCAAATGACGAAGTTGAAACTTCAGCGAATAGAGTGGGTACCCTTCTTTGTTTAGTTCATTAGAGGGAAAGGTTGATCAAATCGTTCTAAGCCTCGAACGTGCAGGCCTTCTCAGAACAAGCGTGCGTTCAGACGATTGCATAAATAGTGCGGCTTCGAAGGATTCACCAACTCTTGAGGCGGCGCCTGAAGATGGTAAACATCCTGACGTTATATTGAACTCAGTTGTAAGTGGGGAAGTTGTACAGACCAGTGTATCGGCGAAGGCAAAGTGACGCAACATAAAGAAATCCATCAGTACAACCAAACCCAAGCTAAAAAAATGTAACGGTGGGCTCTGTCGATACTCCGTCCCCGGAAACGAAGGCAGAAAACTCCTCCACCTCATTGCCGGAATCCTTCTCCTGTGCACCTGCCGTTCCTACTAAGGAGGAGATGAACTCAAGTGCTGCGCCGGCCACTGCTACGGTGACGCGTGACGTAAACACCCCTCGTCGTAGTGATGCATTTACGGGCAGCGGCGTTATCTTCAGGAAGATCTGGGAGTCCTCTGCGACTCTTCCGAAAGATCGCATGTTTGACGACCTTCATTGGTTCAAACTTTGCGTTTCTAAACTACTTCCACCCGGGTTTCCTGGGGTTACTGTTAGAAAAGTTACTAGGCTTGAAAACATATCGGGTGATAGTACTAAATGTAGACCCCGTCTATTACGCGTGGTCCTGTCTACACCGAAGGAGCGCCAAGCTCCTTTGCGCTTCGCCTTTAAACTAAAGAGTTCCGGAGTGGGTATACAGCCGGATCTACCTTTAGCAAATAGGATAAAGCTTAAGGAAGCCATCAAAGACCTTAAAGCGCGTCGCGAAGCTGGCGAGAAAGGTTTATGTTTGGTGGGTTTTCGGGTGGTGAGCCGACGGTCCACTTC